CTCGGGGAATGTAAACATTTACGGAAAGCAGCGCCCGCGACCCGCTCACCCGTTTGTTCCCGTTTCCGTGCTCGGTGCCCGCCGCGGGCTCGGGGCTTCCTCAGGCCTCCCCGGCTCCCGGGCCCCGTGGCCGCGTCAGGCGGCGCGCCGGGGCTTCGTCGGCTGCTAGGATGGGACTTTGCAGACCCTACGCGCCGAAGACTTGGGGAGTCGCCTTCGGTTTGTGGCTTCTCTTGTCTTGCTTCGCCGATAGGATAGCTGAGGACTCCCCATAGCGAGGCAGTGTGGGAAGCCTCCTCTTCGGTTAAACAAACAAACAAAAATGCCCAAGTTTTCTTGAGGCTTTTGGTTACTGGGCCATATGGTGCAAGGCTGCCAAGTTCTCCAACAACGTAAGGCGAGAGGTGCTTAGAACATTGACCCTAACCAGCCCGCAGTACCCAGTAGTGTAATGAAAGTGCAAAAAAGAAAGTGCAGTGGGCTCTAATTGCAACCAGCTGTTTTGGCAATTTATTTTACTTTTAAATTTTTATTGATTGCTTGATTTTAGGTGGGGGGGGGGAGAGAAACATCGGTGTGTTGTTCCACCCATTTATGCATTCATTGGTTGATTCTTATATGTGCTCTGACCAGGAATTGAACCCTCAACCTTGGCCTATGGGGATGCGCTTTAACCCACTGAGTTTTCCGGCCAGGGCTCAGGCATCTTTAAAAGTTAAGTTTTGCTGTCGAGTATGAATGCATCGAACTGTGTGGTCGTTTGAATAGGAGGATTATAGAGGATACACATTGGGTTGAAGCACATGACCGCTGTTAACAGGTTAAAATAAATTCGAAGGTGCCAGCCGTGTTGAAAAGCTTTCAGTTCCTTAAGTTCTTTGATTTTTCATCCTTAATACCACCTGTAATTCCTGATTCCAAAGGGAAAGAAAAGCAGACTGTGGTGGCCGTTTGCAGAGGACAGTTGTAAGACAGCTATTTTGCAGTGGACAAATGGATTATTCCCGTTTATAAGGTGGTATATTAGAGCAGCTCCGTAATACATAGGGTGACGTCATAGAAAAAGGCTATAAATAGGCAAGCCTTGCCTTTTCTGTAATGTTGTGATAAGGTTTTCTGCAGACTGAAGATTATTCTTGAAGGGTGTGATCTTAGATTAGCGTCTAAAAATTTCCTTCTCTTAGGTTATTAGTAATACTGTTGTGTTTACATATTGCCTTTTCTTCCAAAGAGGCCCAGAAGGTCCAGGCATAATTTGTCTTTTTAGGTGAAAAGTAAGGTCTGTGTAAAACGTGGTTTCGTTTGTAGTAGACGTAAAACAGGATAGTTAAATGGCTTCTTGGAGGTCTTCTGTCTGATGTGAGGTCACTCCGCCAGTGCATAGTAGACTCAGAAAATTCAAGACCTAGGTGTCATTCTAAAACTGCGCTGTGCAGGAGTTTATTATGTGGGAATTCTAGATCCAGCATCAGCCTCTGATCAAAGTGACTGCCATTGGTTTTTCCCCTCCTGTATTAAAAGGAGGGCCAACAGTAAGCCCATTGTCAGACTCATTCATTTTTCTCCTTTCACCTGACACGAGTTTTCCAGAATTTTACCTCAAATTAATCCTTCAGGTTCCTCTTTCACTTAATTATGGGTCAGACTTCCCTGAGGAGGTTGCATTAGGTGATCCTGTTTGTGTTTGTCTCCTCCCCTCCTACGTGGCAGAAACCTAGACCTCTAATTCTCCTGAGACCTAGATCTTATTTCTTATTCTTTTATCAGAGGGCTTGACCCCATCTCCTTTAGCCGCTCTCCTCTTGGGCTCCTGACCAGAACTGTGAGATGGGAAGTTTTCAGCGTTAGCCGTTATTTCCTTTCAGTTTTACTCTCCTTGCGTGAGTGTTTGTTCACTGGTCATTTTCCTGATGTACTAGGTTCATATGACTCCATGGACCAGCCATTCTTTTTTTTTTTCTTATAAAAAAGTAAAATTTTCTCATTATAGAACATTAAAGAGCACATGAGAGTATAAAGAAGCAGAAAATCCTTCTAACTGTAATCTCACCACTGTTGACAATTCAGTATACGTTTTTTTAAAAATTCACGTTACAGAATATGTTGAAAATATAGAAATGTCTCAAGGAGAAATTTAAAACGAAGAAAATTTAAAAACCATGATCTCATCATCCAGAGATTAATGTTTATATCTTGGCGTAGCTAGAGACAACTTAGGTGAATTTTGCATTTATAACTATTTGTCAAAGAAAGATATCGTGAATGGATTAAAATTGTGATGTTCTTTTTAACTGTGACATTATATTAGCATTCTTCTGTGACAAATTAGCCTTTAAAATATTTTAGGACTGTCACATTCTGTACTATTATTTATTAAGTCTTTGCTCTGTAGTTAAAAAATAGGTTTGTCTTTTTCTTTACCGTTAGAAATAATGTGTTTGACGTCTATATACATAAATCTTTGTTAATATCTGGTTATTTCTTTTGAATAGACCTATGGAATAGGATTTTGGGGATCAAAGAAATATATTATTTTTTTAAATGTTTTGATTCATTTTGCTAAAATGATGACCAGAAAGATTGTGTTGGTTTGTATGAAACTGTCTGTCTTGCCTCAAATTCATCCGTATCACTGTTTCATAGCCTGCTTCTTTGACTTGATAATGGATTATTTACGATTGTCTTTCTAGAAACCATTGTTTCTAACAGCTGCATAGTTTTCTGTTATATGTATATAACATACCTAACAATTGTGCATATTCTAAACAGTGTTATGCTGAACATCTTGTACATATATATCTGTTCTGCGCTGTGAAGTTATTTCCTTGGTGTATATTTCCGAATGTAGAAGTGCTGGGTCAGAGTTTTGCACATTTAAATTTTAGGATGTATTGCCAAAGGTTGCAAACACTTTTACCCCCTTGGGTTTGAAATGTCAGCTTTTTGTGCCCGTAACAATACCAGGTATTCCAGACTTTGAATAGTTTCCAGTATGATGACAAAGTCTGTACCATAGTTATTGTCATATGTTTATCATTAGTTACTAGTTATGTTGAAGCTATTTGGATTTTAATTGTGCTTCATTTTTAGTAACTTGTAAGAGCTCTAAAATTTTATTACCTTTCCTTTTTCTTGTCATGTGTGGTACAGATATATGTAATCTATCTGAATTTGTGATTTATATTTTATTTTTTAAATTTTATTTATTTATTTATTTATTTATTTATTTATTTATTTATTTATTTATTGAGAAACAAAGAGAAACATCAATTTATACATTCATTGGTTGATTCTTGTACATGCCCTGACCGGAGATCGAACCCACAACCTTGTAGTATCAGGACAACGCTCTAACCAACTGAGCTACCTGGCCAAGCTCTGTGATTTATATTTTAACTTTAAGATGCTTTTTTTTTTTTCTTTCCTGTACTCAGACAAGTATTCATTTAAAATGAATAGCACACTTGCATACATGCAGGTCTATTTTGGCCACCTGTATATAGATAAGAGGAAATTGGTGAATGAAATCTGGATTTGAAAACTTTGGCTTCTCCAGGACTCTTGTAATTCATGAGGAGAGTGGAATGGAATATTTGAAATGGGGGCGATTTTAGCAGGTGTAGGATATGGTCCCTGTTTCTGCAGGGCATTTCCCATTGAGTGAGCCAACAGCTACTGAGAATTTGAAGTGTCTCGTGTTTCCTCTAACAAGCTCTCTTACCAATTTCCACTCTCATTAACACCTCCTTCCTCCCATTCCTGGTGTTTTAAATCCTGGCCAGTCCATTTCTTTCTTGATGTCTCTGTGATGTATTCTTTCCCCCATGTTTCTGTCACTTAACCTCCTACACCAGCTCATCCTAACTTTGTGTTGACTGTTGCATGTCTCCTTCCAGGCTACCTACTACTGTTGAGGACAGTTTTCTCAAGCGTTTTTTTCTTCATTGTGTTTTTGGCCTGTTCAATATGTATTAAATAAACAGTCAGTGAGAACTTACGACCTTCAGTTGGGTGCAGACTCGTCTGTCTGTCTGGTCTTGTGTAGTGGAAGGAGGAGGGTCTTGGCAGTCAGTCCACTCTGCCTGCCTCCAGGTTCCTTGCCCTCGCCATGAGGTCGTAGGGTGGGAATGGTAACACCTCTTACTGCCCTACGGGAATTAAATGAGATGGTGCATGTGCTCAGAGTAGAGTTTTCACCCGCCCTTGCCCTTGCCCTTGCCCTTGCCCTTGCCCTTGCCCTTGCCCTTGCCCTTGCCCTTGCCCTTGCCCTTGCCCCTGCCCTTGCCCCTCTTCCAGACTTCTGTCTTATGCCCAGGCCGCCGCTGTCCTTGTGCCAGAAGGAAGCCATCCAAGCAGGAGGCATTCCTGCTTATTTGCTTGACCATTCATTTATTCCTTTCTTTCCACCTTTGCAGACATCATTACTGTCAAAACTCTCCCTTCCCCCAGTGGCATCTTTTTGCTAGTCTTCCACCTTCCAGAATTCAGCTCCAAACTCAATTGCAGAAAGTCTGCCTTGATTAACCCCATTCAGCTTAACTACTGTGTTGTTGTTTTTTAAATTTCCTTAAGTGTAAATAGTTTGTTTCCTTAATTATAATGGGCTGTTTTGTCATTCTGAGATATGTTTACCATTTATTACAACTTTTTCCTTTTTAATTTTTAGAGTCCGATGTTCCAGCAGAACTCCAGGTGTTAAAAGGACCACAGCAGCAGCCAACCTTCCCTTTTGCAGTTGCCAACCAACTGTTGCTGGTTTCTCTGCTGGAACACTTGAGCCATGTGCATGAACCGAACCCACTTCATTCCAGACAGGTGTTTAAATGTTAGTAAGAGTAAATTCATCTTGCTAAACAAAACTTGTAAAACTACTGTGGTATTTGATGCTGTGGGTCTGAGAAGCAGCGGGTATATAAAAATTTGTAATAAGTATTAGTAGTTTATATTTCTTAAATTCACTTTATATTTTGCTTTGGGTAATTTCTTATAAATATAATTACTAGGGGCCCCAAAAGATTAATAATCATAAAATTTTGCCTATTTTAATAAATAAAAGATCGTTCTTTTGTATCTATAGCATGGTAGTTCATATAATGTGTGAAGCTTTCTTATGGTTTAGACTGTGAGGAGGTAAATGAAAATCACATATATTCATTCTGAACCAGTTCTTGACCAGAGCATTGGAGCAGCAGTATTTTGTGTTGTTGAATAAGAAACTTTTCCTCTACACACTAAATACTTTTAACACCAAATATGTGGGTTTATTTTCCTGCACCGACCTGTTCTCTGACACTAGCTGGGTGTCCTATAATTCAATACTGACACAGTCTATGTGGATTTGGTGTCGGATCCCACAGTTAAGGGCTCAGTCCCACAAGACTGACCTTATTTCAGATGCCAGTTGCAAGTAGTGGGTCTCCAGGGCCCTTAGGTTACTCACACTTGTGTCCAACTTGGATATTATAAGTTGGGATGATCACTATCCCACCTTCCCTCAGTTTTAATAATTTGTTATAATGGCTGACAGTACTCAGGGAGACACTTATGCTTATAGGTTTATTATATAATAAAGGATACGAGAACAGGTACAGATGGACAGATGAAGAGGCACACAGGGTGACGTCTAGGAGGGTCCCTTCCCCTTGGAGTTTGGGCACACCATCCTCCTGGCATGTGGATGTGTTTACCCAGGAGCTCTCAACCCTGTATTTTAGGTACTTAATGGAGGCTGCATCTGTTGGCATGACCTATTATGAACTCAATCTCCAGCCTCCTTCTCCAGGGAATTGGGGCTGGAGCTGAAAGTTCTAAGCTTCTAACCATGGCTTGGTCTTTCTGGTGACCAGCCCCTATCTTGAAGCTCTCCTGGGGACCTGGCCACCTCATTAGCATACAAAAAGATCCTCATCTCTCTGGAGATTCCAAGGGTCTCAGGAGCTTTTGAGTCTGGAACTGGGTCAAAGACCAGATATTAGGAGAAAAGCTGCTCCATTCACCCTGAGCACTTAGGATTACAAGAATTTTGGGAACTGTGTGCCAGGAACCAGAGATAGAGACGAAATATATTTCTTATACCACAGCTGTTGAAAATGTTTATTTTTATTCCTGCCATAATTACTTGTATGAGAAACTTAAGCACAAAAATGAGCAGAATTATTGAGTGTGCTGTTTGTGGTTCAGCTCGTTGACTGAGACCAGTGTGGCTTCGTTAATAGCTCCAACCACAGATTCTAAGGACCTTTTCTACCAAAAAAGTCTTTTCAAGTCTTGTTTGGTATTAGAAATCCTCAAATTTTTAGTGCCTTTTTGTGATCTTAGAATGTAATGATTTGCTTAAGGTAGACTATCATTTTGATGAACTCATGACACATGAAACATGGTGACTATTTGCACGGTGTATAATATGTGGTAGGGAGGTGGGTGTCCTTTAGGTTCCGAAGCATTGATAGCTGGAAATTACTATATTGGGCTCACCGTAGAAAAGCAGATTATAATGATTTTCGTGTAGTGATCTTGCTCCTAATTTAAGCAAATTTGAAAATCTTGCTGATTTTAAGATGTTTTTGAATTCCTTTTTAAATGTCTGTACTTTTAAATAGAGTCTATTGAAATGTTTTTGATGTGACTCAGTTAGTTGATAATCTGCATGCAAAGTTTTCTGTGCAGAAAGATATCCTCTATGGATCTTATTACTTGAATGAGTAAAGCCAAGCACGTCTGTAGAAACTTCTTCTGAGGAGCCTGGTATTGTGACTTCAGACTTGACTTTCCCCCGAGTATTTGGTCTGTATACACATTGCATATGTGCCTTTTCTATGCTGGTTAAAGATATTCCATTATAGAGGACAATAATTAATATTCACTTTTGTTATTCATTCTGATCATTTATTTCCATTCCTGCCTTTATTCTTATTTCAGTGCCTGTCTGCAAAATGTAATATGTTTAAATATAGAAGACTACTGTAATTATATTTTTCTTGCCTTTTTTAAAGATGGAGCTTATTACTTTCCTGACCCACCAGGAATGGTCACCCAATGACTGCTCAGTGTTAGAGAGGTCAGTGTAGATGCTCCTGACCAGTGAGTGTGCCAGGTGTTCCTTTACTTTGCCCCAAGTTATAATGCATGTATAGACGTAATCTTTTTCTCGTAGAGGTTGTGTTCTTTATGCTGTGTACTCTTTAAATTGCTGTTTTATCAATCCTTTCCAATAGCTTGCCATGTTCTTTCCTAGTGCTTTGTCAGACCTTCATCAAAATGGGGCTGCTGTCGTCTTTCAGCTGCAGCGATGAGTTTAGCTCATTGAGGCTGCATCACAACAGAGCCATCACTCATTTAATGAGGTCAGCCAAGGAGAGAGTGCGTCAGGTAAGCACTAAGCTATGTGCTTGGTATGTGACAAAAATGGTTTGATGTCCAGAGGACTGTATTTTAAAGCATTATGAGATCCTGGTTATAATACAGGTTTATAAAAATGTTAACTTTAATTTATTTAACATTATTTGTGAGTGACTACTGTGTGTTAGACTCTCTGGTACGTGCTGGGGTTCAAGCTTTAAGCAAAATAGACAGAGAATCCCTGTCCTCAGGGAGCTTCCGTTGTGAAGAGAGGGCAATAAACAACGGAAAAATAAAACTGTAAAAATAAATGGGGGTGGATGGTGGTGTTAAGGAGAAACGTAAAGCAGGGAAGGACTTAGAAAATAGGTGGCCAGGGAGAGCCTCACTGAGACTTATTTAAGTCAGGAGCTGAGGCTCAGAGGAGGAGCTGTGCAGATACCTAGAGGAAAAGCACTCCAGTTGAGGCACAGCAATTCCCCAGCAAGCAGTGTGCAAGGGGTGTGGGGAGCTGACAGGCAGCCATGTGTCTGGAGGGAAAGGGGAGCGTGGTGGGGGGCAAGAGGGCAGCGAGAGGGACGATGGAGTCAGGACAATGGAGTCGGATCTTGAGACCATGGCAGTATCTTTGGTTTTCACTCAGTAAAACAGGCAGCATTGCAGGATTTTGAGCAGAGTGACATCATCTGACTTCCGTTTTAATGGGATCAACTAGCTATTGTGTTGAGAATAGACTGAGGGAGGCCAAGGGCAGAAGCAGGTGAGAAGAGATGGTGTGGCTTGGAATGGGTGGTAGTGGAGATGTGAGAAGTGGTCAGTTTCTGCATCTTTTTGAAGGTAAAATCAGCATTATTTGTTTATGGCACTCCTTAGTACATTCTCAGTTTTGTCAGTGGATAGCAAGAATGTAGCTTTTTAAGTAGTGATCTTCTGGTTAAGAGAGAAATATTTTCAATTGTAAACTTTTAGGTAATGTTGAAAAAGCCATTGAGGTGTTTTTTTTTGTTTTTTTTTAATATTATGTAAGCACTTGGGACTATTAATAAGGCATTGAATTTTGATTTCTTATTCCATGAAATTGTCAAAATTCTTTTAAAAATAATTTTTTGATTTTAGGATCCTTGTGAGGATAATTCTCATATCCAGAAGATCAGGTCTGTATTAAATACTTTTGTGATTATGTAAATATTAAACTATCAAGTCAGGATTAAGAATTAATCCTGAATTAATCAGAAATTAGTTTTGAGTTAAAAGATACTAGTTAGTATAGTATTTATGAAAACTAAAAACTTTGTTCTCAGCAATTTTATTTTTTAATCCTCACCTGAGGATATTTTTTCCATTGCTTTTCAGAGAGAGTGGCGGAAGAGAGTCACACACACTTTGGTTGCTTCCCGAACATGCCCCTCTGGGCTGAGCCTGCACTCGAGGTACATGCCCTTGGCCAGAATCGAACCCCAGACCCTTCAGCCCAAGGGCTGACACTCTAACCCGCCGAGCAAAACCAGCTCGGGCTGTTCTCAGCAATTAATTACTGCTCCAAGATTTGTTTTACTTCTCACTTCCCTCCTTTAAATAATAAAGAAAAAATTTTTTTGTTTTTTGCTTTTCAAAAAAATTTTCTTCCATTTTGATACCCTGCTCTCCTCCTTCACTGTGGATTCCATAAGCCCCGCTGGTAATTCACTGTGCTCATATCCAGGCTCTGTTGGGAAAACCATTGCATTTGTTTATATTTCAGAAATGTTAGTTTAAAATCTGTAACTTGCCTGGCTGGTGTGGTTCAGTGGTTGAGCATCAACCTATGAACCAGGAGATCCCGGTTCGATTCCTGGTCGGGGCACGTGTCGGGGTTTCAGGCTCGATCTCCAGTTGGGGACGTACAGGAGGCAGCCAATCAATGACTCTCTCATCATTGATGTTTTTATCTCTCTCTGCCCCTCAGGCTCTCTGAAATCAGTAAAGACAAAAAAAATAAAATAAAATAAAATCTGTAACTTGCCTGAATCATTAAGAAATTTAAGTGACTTCATTATGGAGAGCCGCTAATCAACTTCTGCCTATTAGTCATTGAATACTAATTACTGGTAAAATACTTAAAATTAGATTAATGATCCCCTTGTTATCTTTATCACTGTCAATTTGCTTAGCAAATGTTTTTCTTCATAGAGAATGAAAAATTTCATTTCGGCTCATCCTTTGCAAATCACCATGTAAGTTCAGTGATGAACAGTTAGTAGGCTAGTAGCAGTATAGGAACAGGAACTGCCCTCGGACATTCTGATGCTCTCCTGCTTTAATATTGGCTGATGGTTTGTTTTAACTTTCAGATCAAGGGAAGTCGCCTTTGAAGCACAGACTTCACGTTACTTAAATGAGTTTGAAGAGCTTACCATCTTAGGAAAGGGTGGATATGGAAGAGTATACAAGGTGGTTTTCCACATATCCTTTTTGACCTATTGCTCTAAATAAATGTATTTTGAGAAGTTGTTTTCATTATTTAAAGTACACAAAGGAAAATTCCTTGAAATCATGTACATTTACTTTTCATTAAGATTTGTCATTTCCTGGGAAGTGGGCAGGTTTTCATTTTTTCCTAACCACGTTGGTGGTTTAAGTGGATTCTGGAAACTTTGGGTTTTTGTTCTATAGTTATTTGAAATGATTACTGACAAGAATTGTTCTGCTGCATTTTGGGCTTTACAGAGCCCTTTGCCAACATTGCCTGGAGCCTCTAGGAGTTGGTCCGTCAGTGCGGTTGGAAAGTTTCTAGTCTGCTGACTTCCCTGGCCATAGTAAAGAGGACACCTGTCTTTAGCTTAATTTTATCTCTGCTTAGTTTGGATTATGTAAGTTCGGGTTAAAATAACTTTTTATCTGGTTGAAATTTAATGGCACAATATACTTTTTCTCCTTTTTAGGTCAGGAATAAATTAGATGGCCAGTATTATGCGATTAAGAAAATCCTGATTAAGGGTGCAACTAAGACAGATTGCATGAAGGTAAGATTTTCAAAATGTTTTTGTTTTGAATAATGGAGTATTTAAGTTTTTTTGAAAGAGTTGTATGTATGTGTGAGTGTGTGCGCGCGTATGTTTTGTATTTGACAAATACTAGGTGGTATGGATTGCCAGTTTACTAAGAATGGGTTACAGTAACATAAACATCAAAACTAAATTTTATTTGACTTAATTTTTTAAAATTTAATATATCTTTATTGATTTCAGAGAGAGGAAAGGAGAGGGAGAGAGAGAGAAACATCAATGATGAGAGTCATTGATTGGCTGGCTGCCTCCTGCATGCCCCCAACTGGAGATCGAGCCCACAACGCGGGCATGTGCCCTGACCAGGAATTGAACCTCAGTCTCCTGGATCCTAGGTCTGTGCTCAGTGGCTGAGCCATGCCCGGCCAGGCTATTTGACTTAATTTTTTATAGGCATTTCAAATTAGCCACATTACAGGGTCATTGCTGGGGAAATTAATTTTTTAAATTAAATTATTTAGGTATAATACAGCTTGTTATGAAAAAATATGAGCTCAGTCCAGGTCCCAGTCTTCTCCCTGACATGCTCTGTGGTCTTGGGCAAATGACCTAGTCCTCTAAGCCACTTCTGTCTTCTGCCCTTGAAATAGTGGTGACAGCATGACTTTACCTTGGGGACTGGACCTCTTTTTTTTTTTAAGTATCTTTATTGATTTCAGAGAGAGGAAGGGAGAGGGAGAGAGAGAGATAGAAACTAGAAACATCAATGATGAGAGAGTAATTGATTGGCTGCAGCCCGCAACCTGGGCATGTCCCCCGACTGGGAATCGAACCCCGATCTCCTGAATCCTAGGTCAATGCTCAACTGCTGAGCCACGCCCGGATGGGCTGGACTTCCTTATAGGACAATGATTGTAAGTGAGCTACGCAAAGTATAAAGTGCTATATATATATGTTTAGTTGCTGTAACAATTGCATTGGTCTTTCACAAAGATATTTCTGTTATTTTAACATAGTTTAGATTGCTTGTACAGAGGGTTTTACTGTTTGCTCTGGTACAGGTGGTGTATTTGATACCATGAGCACCTAACAAATGGCTGGTAAAAGCTCCATCTAAGTATGCATCTCCTTTAGGTACTACGGGAAGTGAAGGTGCTGGCGGGTCTTCAGCATCCTAACATTGTGGGCTATCACACTGCCTGGATTGAGCACATTCATGTGACCCAAATGCAAGGTATGCAGTTTCAGATGAGACAGTTGAAGGTTGGCAAAGCTCAGCCCATACACCAAGTCTGGCCTACCCCTGTTTTCGTGCATCCCGTAAGCTGAGAATGTTTTTGTTTTGTTTTTTGCATTTTTAAAAATATTAAAAGGCATCAAAAGAAGAATATTTTGTGAAAATTATATGAAATCCCTCATTTCAATGTCAATAAATATAGTTTATTAGAACACAGGCTCATTCGTATATATTGCCTGTGGCTGCTTTTGTAGTAAAACAGCGGAGTTGAGCAGCTGCAGCAGAGCCTCAGGGCCTGAAAAACCTGACCTATTCATTATCAGGTCCTGCACAGAGAGTTTGCCAGCAGCCCCTTGTGGAGTGGAACAGCTGTTTTTATAGTTGCTAAAATGTGCCGGTAGTTTGATAAGCTGGTATTGCACTTCGCCAGAAGGTCATGACATTTTTAGACAGGTGGTTTCATTTGGCATTATTTGTATATTTTAGCTCTGCCTTTGACTGTGAATTAGAAAATTGGGCTGTGGACATTTATTTTTGTTCTTGTTCAGCAGATAGAATTTGTATTCAGTTGCCATCTCTGAAAGTGATCTCTACCCAGGAGGATGACAGGTATGTCACCTGCATTGGATTGCTTTTGTCTTTTGCTATTAGGTGTTCAGGAGTGTTTTAGACTTTTTTCTAAATACAGAGAGAGGAAGGGAGAGGGAGAGAGAGATAAAAACATCAATTATGAGGGAGAGTCATTGATCGGCTGCCTCCTGCAGGTCCCCTGCTGGGGATTGAGCGCACAGCCCAGGCATGTGCCCTGACCCAGAATTGAATTGTGATCTCCTGGATCCTAGGTCGATGCTCAGCCGCTGAGCCACGCCGGCCGGGCTATTTTAGACTTTTTTTTTGCTTATTTTCATTACGAAATGTGAAATGATTTCCTCCCCTTAGATGTTTCTTGTCGGTATTTTAAATAAATGTGGCTGCTAGGTAGATGTGATGCCATTTTTTTCAGAGGTTTACCAGTGAAACTCACGTAGACCTGAAGGAGCAGCTGAGTCGTGCTCAATCTTGCACATTGATGATTGTCTTTATTGGCTCTTCTTCCCTCCAGGTGTCAGTACGATGTTGAAAATGATGAGAGCAATAGCTCATCCATTATCTTCGCCGAGCTCACCTCAGAAAAAGAAAAGTCCTCAGTAGGATCTGGCACTGAACGTCAGAGTAACAGATTGGTGAACTACACCCCCAGCCTCGTCAGAAGAGATGACAGTGAATTTGAATCATCCATTGAGCTCCAGGAAAATGGCTTGGCTGAGTTGTCTTCCAGATCAGTTGAGAATCAGCTGCCACTTAGGCTTCATTCAGACTTAGAGGGGAATTTCACATCCACTGAGGAATCTTCTGAAGAAAACTTAAACTTGGCAGGACAGACCGAGGTAGATTTCATGTTTACCCACAATAATTGTATAAGGACTGCGATTAGATATGGCCTCCCCTCTTCCTCGGCTGACTTCACACCTGGCGCTCCTCCCTCTCGGCTCTAGCCCTTGTTCCCTGTGCTCAGTCTCTTCTCTCCAGGTTCTTCTGTATTTGGTCTTCTCACCTTCCCTTAGTTAACTCATCCTTTTCTGGGTCATTCCTCCTCTAGTCTCATATATTTACCCCAGAGTGGGAAGCATTGTGTATGCTCTATTTCTGTTGTATGTTAGCATTGTGCTATAAATATATATTTATGCAGAAAGATTTTCTACATTTGGAAAATGGCATAAGAGAAAGTCCAAGTAGGATCAGGTCAGTTTTTAGGAGACTCTTGTTGAGGATTACACTGATGTATTGGTGAGACTTTCACACACTCTTGTCAGTATCAAATATTAGTGTTAAAAATACTTGAAGATTAACAGGGTCTGCACATAATTGGTCATATTGGATTACAAAACTGTGTATACACATGCAGAATTAACTCTTGTTGTCCAGGAATACATGCCTGTGTGTGTGTGGTTTTTTATGAAACATGAAACTTTGAACGGATTTACCTGAATACAAAAGAGTTGGGTTCAAGGGACTTTTCATCAGAACAGCTTTATTTCTCTGTATAAGTTTAGAAAGTTTTCCTGATGCCTAAATCAATAGGCTGCAGTGAGCTTCATTTTTGCTTACCTTTTCCTTGGACAAATTATTAGTTGTGTACAATGTGAAGCCAGCCACAGTGTGTGCATACTTTTGGGTATACACAGAGTAGCGGACGAGCATACAGCAGTTCTCTGATGCTTGATCTTAGCTTTAAAAATTGTTTATGTAGCGAGCAGACCAAACAGTTTCAGTGCCTCAGTGTCACATTCAGGAGCTCCTGTCTTTTGACGCCTGCCTAACTCCAGCAGGCCTACCCCTGCCCACTTGGATTATGACAGTTTTCTTCTCCATCTCCTTCGCTAGACTTTGGGCATCTTGAGCAGGCCTGTGTCTGTCACCTCGGTCCTCATCACTTATGCCAGTGCTTGGCTAGAGCAGACAAGTGGGTATTGGATGGCTAAATGAGTAATGCGAGGAAGTGGTGCAGAGATGGGACCTGCGTTGTGTTGCCCCCCCCCCC